TGCAGAGGACGGTCCAGACCTTCGTGGGCCGGTTCGACTACGACGACGGACCAGACTGCGGGGGCACCCGTGCCGGGCAGCCATGGCGCAGCCAGCGCCACCGCCTGACCCGAACGTGCCTGAGCCTGCTCCTCCTCCAGCTGATCAAGAAGCTGCGGGGGAGCCACCACCTCCGCCAGCCGTCGATCCTGACGGCGAGCGAGCCCGAGAGGCCGCTCAGCTCGGCCCCATCACCAACACCAAGGAGGCCGAGCGGCGCAGGCGATGGCTGGAGGCCCCGCCAGAGGTCAGGAAGGCCATCCGCCAGCTCCACGTTAACTTCCACCACTGTTCGAACGTGACGCTGACCAGAAGGCGCCGAGGAGTCAAGCCGGAGGTGCTGAAATACGTGGAGTTCTTTTCCTGCGACGCCTGTGGCGACGCCGTCCGTCGGCGCGCCCCGCGACCTTCGCGGTTGCCAGGTCAGCGCGTGTTCAACTGCGCCATCCAGCTGGACACCTTCCACGCCTACGACGCCGCCGGGACGCCCTACTTCTTTATGAACTGTATCTGCGAGGGGACGACCTTTCAAGTCGTGTGCTGCATGGGCCCGGCTCGTGGATCACCGACAGCACGTGCCACTGCCAAGGCGTTCACTACCAGCTGGACTCCGCGGGCTGGCTACCCAGAGAAGCTCACGGTGGACCTGGGCAAGGAGTGGATGAAGGATTTCGCTTCCAACGCGAAGGCGCATGGCGTGCAGGTCGACCTGGCCCCGTTGGAGACGCCGCACCTCATCGGCAAGTGCGAGCGCCGCGGGGGCATTTGGAAGGAGATCTGGCGACGTACTGTCGCCGACTCGCAGGTTACAGGACTGGACGACGTCGAGGAGACTGCCTCCATCGTGACCCAGGTCAAGAACGAGCTGGGCCGACGCGGGGGGTTCTCCCCTTCGCAGTGGGTCTTGGGGTCGCATGGGCCCCGTGCCCCAGGAAGCCTCCTACAAGACGACGAGGCGCAGCGGTTGGAGGTCATCGAGGCGTCGCTCGACCCCCAGTCTGCCATGGCCCGCACCATGGCCCTGCGCGAGGCGGCCCGCATTGCACACGTCCGCCTCGACTCCGACGACCGCGTCAAGCGCGCCATCCTGCGCAAGGCGCGGCCTAGCCGAGGCCCTTTCAACATTGGGGCCATCGTGTACTTCCGCCGGTCGCAGACCCGAGTCGGCGAGAGCCCCGAGGTCACGCGCCGCTGGTTTGGGCCAGCCCGGGTTATCGGGCATGAGGTGCGTGGCCCACGTCACCTCTCTCGCGACGCGGACGAGCCCGTCGGCACACTGGCCCATGCAGTGTGGCTTCGCTACGGACACACTACCGTGCTCGCAGCTCCTGAGTCGCTCAGGTTCGCCTCCGAGGACGAGCTGCTCGCCATGCACACCTACGTGAACCCAGACCTGTTGTCCCTTCGGTCACTGAAGGGGGCCAGGCACTACATCGACATCCGGGCCGATACACCAGCAGCCTCGCCCGCCCCGATGCCCGGGCCTCAACAGCACGCGGCTGGTCACGGAGGGGTGGTTGGGGGCGCGCTCGGATCTGCCGGACCAGGACCTGACGTAAATTTCGATTTCGACGAGTTCAACACCGAGGACCATCTACCACAGCAGCGGGTCGATCCTCCACAGCCGGCACACGAAGTACCACAACAAGCATCTCCAACCATTCAGGAGACCGACGACGCACTACTACCACCGCCAGCTCAGCATCAGCCACCTCCTGTGGTCCCTGAGCCACCACGCCCGGGGCTACCAGAGGCAGAGGGGCCGCCGCGCTCGTACGGCCCAGGCGAGCCCAGCATTCATTCCGAAGTTCAAGGTCATCGGATCGATCCTCGAGTATCCCAGGAGGCTATCGACAAGCCGGTGCCCCCGGATGACGAGGCTGTCGACAAGCCGGTGCCGGACGACGAGATGGGCGTGGGCCTGGAGCGCGGGGAGAAGCGCGGAGGCCTGTCACTTACCCAGCTGGACAGAGCCATGCGCGATCCGGAGCGTCTGGATCGGGGTTCCATCAAGAAGCCTCGCACCTTCAGGGCTACGTGGAGGAGGAGTCATGGAGGATGCCCTCCACGAAGTGTTCCTCACCAGCGACTACAAGCCGGACCTGGCTGTCGCCTACGAGTGGCGTCGCACCGACTACGGCATCAAGAAGTTCATCACTACAGACAAGCGCGGCCCTCGCTGGTCCAAGGTGCTTCGCCGCATCACCAGAGACATCAAGACAGGCATCGTGATCGATGACATCGACGTCAGAGGTCTTGCTCTTCGCGATGCTTGCCTTCGTCGGCCTCTGCCTGGTGGCACCACCGCGGTCGAGACCATCTTCGTTCGCACCGACGAGGACGTGGGCACGAACGACGCAGTCGAGTTCGCCTATCTCTCCAAGGGCGCGGTCCGTTCCGAGATCAGACTTCAAGACCTCGCCCCAGAGCAGAGGAAGGAGTTCGATCAGGCTATGGCCAAGGAGTGGCGCAGCTGGACTGAGTTCCAGGCCGTCGAGGTGCTGAGCTTCAGCCAGGCCAAGGAGCTCCTCGACAGGGGTGCCTCCCCAGTTGGGACGCGCTGGGTCCACGCGGACAAGAACGCTAAGAAGCGCAACCTCAAGCAGACCTACGACGACATCCCGCTCGCTGCCAAGAGTCGGCTCGTCTTGCAGGGCTGCCAGGAACGAGGAGATGATATCCGGGGCGACGCTCCTACTGCTAGCCTTTTGGCTTTCCACCTGGTCGCCAGCTACGCTGCCTCCCACCGGTGGCAGATAAGGGCAGCTGGCGCTGCGACGGCCTACCTGCAGTCCAAGGGCATTGAGCGCATCCTGCTTCTTCGAGCCCCTCGCCCTCCACCACCGGGAGTTCCGGAGGGGTCCTACATGCGCGCCCGCGGCGCAATCTACGGCACCAAGGTCGCGGGCAGGCAGTGGTGGCTGCATCTGCGCGCCATCCTCGTGGAGCAGGGTTGGCGCGAGTCCATCTACGAGCCCTGTCTGTTCATGCTCAGGGACAGCAAGGGCAAGCTCAACGGCTGGCTGTGCACGCACGTCGACGACCTCTTCGTCACGGGCGCGGGCGAGCAGTTCGAGCGCGTGATGGAGATCATCAAGGACAAGATTCGCCTTTCCTTCCAGTCCGATACGTTCAGGTACTGTGGCAGGGTCGTGGAGCAGGACAACCAGACTTTCGGCATCAAGATCGGACAGGCCGCCACGGTCGAGGCGCTGGAGTACATCACCCTCGAGCCGCACCGCCGGCGCAAGCCCAATGCGCCACTCGCCCAGGAGGGGATCTCTGCCCTCCGTAGCGGCGTTGGGTCGCTTGGCTGGGTAGCACGGCAGACGCGCCCCGACCTGGCCGTCCACGCTTCACTTGGGGCTCAGGCCATGAGTGGCCCCAAGATTCGTGACATTGTTGCAGCGAATCGTGCCATCAAGATGGCTAAGGACGACGTTGATTTCAAGCTGATGTTTTCATCCCGCCTGGACTGGGACAGTGCCATTGTGTTCGGCTGCGGGGACAGCAGCCATGGCAACATTGACGACCTTACGCTAGGGGAGAAGGTCAAATCCCAGTGCGGCTATATCATCGGCATGGCGTCGCCCGACCTCGAGACGGACGCCACCGCGATCATGCATCCACTGGAGTGGGCTAGCGCGACGATCAAGCGAGCGTTTGATCGCTAGCGGCTGAATGCAACGGTTTCTTGACGACAGCTGAGAGTGCGGAGTTCCTCAAGCACGTGATCGCCGAGATATCCGACCCCGGCTACTCATCCTACCAGTTCGACCCGTTTTTCGATGGCAAGCATTTGCTACTGCTGACGGACGCGAATGGCCTTGTCACCTCCCTGGAGAAGGATGGTGGTCAGCCCGCTGACAAGCGAGTACGGATCCTGATGGCCCAGATCCGACAGCTACTCGGCCATGACATGCTGAAGCAGGAGCGAGAGGGAGATGACTGGAGGATACGTGTCAGGTGGATCGACACGAAGCTGATGATCGCGGACTCTTTGACAAAGTCCGAGGCTGAGAGGAGTTTCTTGCTAGAGCGGCTTTCTGAGGGCCGCTGGTGTTTAGCGCAGACGAAGGAGATGCTCGCTGCTAAGGCAGCGGCAGGCGAGGCGCGCCGAGCCCGCAAGGCCCGGCCTGGCAATGCGGAGGGGTAGTCCTCTGGTTTTCGTTTCCCCCCTTCTCCTCCTCTGCCTCCTCTCCCTCGTACCGTTTGGTTTGCATCCATATCGTTTACGCCCTGTGGTTTTATAGTTCCATATTCGCACGCCTGTTTAGGCACCGCTCTGCCGATTTTTGGAGATTCTCCCTCTTGAAGGCAGTGGATTTCATTACATCATTTGTTTTCTATCTGACTAATGAAGCTTAGCCCCCGCACTGTTTTTGGGGTCCGGACAAAGGTCCGCCACTTTTTTTGTCTCCGATTCCCCCGCCTTCCAAGATTGTGCCCGACGAGGACAAGCCTCGATGGTCACGGAGGGGTGTCAGAGATACAGGGTTTTAGCAGGCGTGCGTGTGTGGTATATGTGCTTATCTTGTTTGTTACAGCAGAGCATGCGTACACAGGGTGCCCTTTTAGGATCAAGGGTAATAAAGCATCCTTATCATCGATCCCCGCCCGCCTGGGCGGACTCTCATAAGCTGTTTTTGTTTGTGTGTCCTTCTGCTTTCGGTACACATCGGTTCACCATCTGTTTTATATTCGCGGCAGCTGCCGGGGTGGGACGGGGCTACCGTGCACCCGCCATCGGGCCCCACTCTGGCAGCGGGCGCGGGAATGGTTTCCCGCGCTGACGCCTACGGGCCCCGCCTCCCAGCCAGAATGCGCACCATCGTCTCGTTCCAATTCCCGATTCTTTACAGCTGCATGTTTCGTCGGCTATCACTCCTCTTCGCCCTTCTCGTTGTCTATCTTGTCGTCCCCTCCTCCCCCCGCCTTCCCCCCCCTCTCCCGTATGTCAGGGATGTCAGCGCGCTCGTCCACTGTCCTGCGAGGCCTGCTGCCGCTCCCGGGCTCGAGCCTTGTGATGTGTACGAGGCGCTTTCTTCATATGGCAGATGTCGTGGTGTGGCAAGCGCCCTTCCGCTTCCTCTCCTCGTCCTTCTCCTTTTATGTCGTGTCGTCGTCTCCCCCCCCCCCCCCGCCCCTCCCTTGTACTCCTTCCCCCGCGCGGGGGGTAACCCGCGCATCCCATGTTTCTAGGTCTCGGGCCGTCTGCGCCTCGCTCCATCGCTTTTCACCACGCCGCCCGATATGGCGTCAAACTGCCACTCCTCGATGCCAGATGCTGCGAGCACACGTTCCCTTGTTCTCCTCAGAATCTTGGCGTCGACATGCGCGTCCGTCCAAGCGGGCTGGACGATGCGAGGCCGAGGAGGGCCCATGTCCGTCCAGGCCGGCTGGACGATACGAGGTGATGGCGCAGGGCGCTCGTAGAGCGCGGTTTCCGTTCCTCCTGTCCTCCTTCCTGTCCTCCTCTTCCCTCCCGCTTCCCTCCTCCAGATCTCGGTGTCGAAGTGTGCATCCGTCCAAGCCGGCGGGGCGAGGCGAGGCCGTGGAGGGCCCAAGACAATCGTCGAACGCATTTTCCCCTCCTCTCCTCCATCCTCGTCCTCCTCTTCTCCCCTGTCACCTTCCGGATCGTGGCGTCGAATTGTTGGTCCGTCCAGGCGGGCTTGACGATGCGAGTCCAGGCGGGCTTGACGATGCGAGGTGGGATCCAGCGTAGTATGTCTCATGTTTCTTTCGTCAGGGTTCAAGGCTCACTCGCTCCACCTCCCCCTGGCACTTTTCAGTCCCCTTGGCGGGGGGTAATCCGCTCCCCATGCGGGGGTCATCCGCGCGTTCTCTGTCACGAGACCGCCCAGTATGCTGCTAAACTGCCGTCGAGGACGTCACGGGCTGCGAGCGCACATTGCCTGTTCCGTTTGCATGGGGGAATCCGCATCTTCTTTTTCTGTGCGGGAGGTCATTCGCATTTTTCGCAGCTAGCCTTACAGCTGCTGTGTGCCCGACCTCCTTTCCCGTCCTCCTCGTTCTTCTCCCGTCGTCGTCCCCTCCACTCCCTGCCGCCCCCTTCTTCCCAGGGCATGTCCTCCGCGTGCTTGGTTCCCCACGTCCTCCTCGTCCCTTTCTTCTCCCGCCGTCGTTGTTCCCTCCCCTCCCCGCCGCCCCCCCCCCTCCCCGAAGCACGGCCTCCGCGTGCGCTGCCCGCAGGCGGGCCTTCGACCGCCCGGTGGCCCATCCTTTCGCCCCCGCGCCTTTGTCGTGCCTCTTGTTTCCCTCGCGCATCCTTCATCGGCTGGCTTCTTCCCCTCTCCGTGCGTTGCGTTCCTCTTGTGTGTGTGGCGCTTCCTTTTTTCCCGTCGGCCTCCCCTCCCCCGTCGGTCGGCCCGCGTGCTTCGCGTCAATCCGTTTCCTCCCTCAGTTGTCCGCTGTCGCTTCTCGCTCCTCGCTTCCCCCTCGTTGCTTGGCCCCTCTTCCCCTCGTCTTGCTGGTCCCTTCTGGTCCCGATTCGGGCTGGCGCGGCTGTTGCCTTGCTTTCTCTCCGTTCTGGCCGCTGTCCTCTCTGTTTTTGCTTCAGACTACTGGGCGCGCGCGCGGTCGTCCGCGCGGGCTTTTGACGCCATGGCAAGTCGCTTGGCCGCGACGACCAAAAAGTGTGCGTGCGTGCGTGCGTGCGTGCGTGCGTGCGTGCGTGCGTGCGTGCGTGCGTGCGTGTGTGTGTGTGTGTGTGTGTGTGTGTGTGTGTGCGTGTGCGTGTGCGTGCGGAGCACGGGGGTTTCGCCCATTTGACGTCGTTGGTTTGGCCACGCGTTTTTTCGTGCACTGGAGCAGTGATGGGTAAAGCATCACTCGTACGTATCTGACCTTCGGTCGTGGTGCGAACTGTAGCAACTTTGGAAAGAACCGCCCGTTTTGGTTTGTACGATTGGCGCTACCCAGCGGGGGTTACAGTGTTGCGTTTTGCACGTGTTTGAACTTTGTTGTTGCCACGTTCCATCCATTTCCTGCGGATATTCTGCTTAAGCCTCCCATCGTCCCTCCCTTTGATTGTCATATTACTTCCGTCATGCCTCTTTCACCCGCAACGGGTTAGGGTCCGTTTTGTTTTTGGTATACCATATCAGATTGCCGGCTCGTGGTGTGAGTTATTGCAATATGGAAAACAAACGTTACGATGTTACACATGGCGTTGAGCATTGTGGATGCATCTTGCGTCTTTCGGTGTATTATGTCATCCTCCTCATCCTCATATCATCCCTTTTCCCCTCCAAAATGTTAGCCTATGGGCCTCTCCAGAGGGGCCTCGTTCTGGCCAGCATTCGGAAGCAGCTCCTGCCCACGGCTACTAGAGGCTGCCCAGAGACCCAGGAAACAAAAAACACGAGAAACAACAAACACATAACGAAACGTGATGACCTCGGCCTCAAATCTCAAACCTCGGTTCTCCTTCTACCCCCGATGCTCCTCATCACATCCGCGGCAGGCCTCCGCAGCCTATCCCCTGGACTGCGCCGACCGTGCCGACATCGACGGCCGGATGCACAAGGCCTCCTGCCCGCAGGCCCACCGCGCCAGCGAGAGGGGAGGGCTTTCGGGGGGTGGGAGAGGCATGAGCGCCTTTCGAGCACTCCGTTGGAGGAATCCCTTTATACACCACCGTGCCTGGCCACGGCCATGTTGGGCACCAGGATGGCGCATACACACATGCTCATAGCCTCGGCCCAAAGTGAGCACAGACCATGCCAGGGCCTAGGATGCCTTTGGCCTGGCGCGGTGGTGGTGTGCAGATGGCTTCTCGGTGTCAAGGTGGGACAACACCGTGCGTCCTCTTCGAGGAGAGCGATGTCGTCCCTTCACCTTCGCGAGCGACTTTACTGGCTGCGCGTACAGGCACAAGCTGTTTAATTTTGCAGTTCGACCTACCAAACAATTCCCTTACCGCCGCTTGGTGGTGATGCACAGGCGTGTGAGAGAAGTTTGGGCGATCCCATTGCCCTGGTTTATGGAGCCATCTTGTCCGTTTTGGAGGCGTCTTGGGGCCGTCTCCTGAGCCATTTGGTCGGGTTGGAAACATGCGTTGTGCAGACTCTGGTTGGCCTTCCGGCCTTTCGGTTCCCATCGCGGTGCCTGCGGAATGAGACAATATTGTTTGGAATTCGTCACGCTTCGCGTATCCCCACCAGCTGAATGCTGGCCCGGCCGGCTTGCGTGTCGCTTAGTAATTAGGCTGGCCCGTGCCCTGGACCCCCTCTCGCCGCCTGCCCTCTGCTGCGCGGCCGCGACCAAAAAATAAAAATCCCCGCCAGCCGAGGAGCACGACAAGAGTTTACACGCGCAGTTCGGCCTCCCCCCGGAGGACGGCCATCGCTGGGAAGACCTCGGCCGCCAGATGGAAGCGGCGTTGGAGAACCTCCTGACCGACCCCGCGTTGCCCGTAGTCCTCTTCCTTCCTGCAGGGCTCCACCCCCGCAAGTACAACAGCGAGGGCGTTCCCGCCGACCCCGTGCAGGTCGACAGGAAAGCCTGGAGCCACTTGGGGTACCTGTACGACGTGGGGCTCGGACTCGACATTGGCAACTTGGTATGCAACATGACCTGGGCCACCCTGGTCTGGTCAGTCGGCCTGGGCACCCCCTGGGACAACCCCCGGTGCCAGATCTCCCCCAACGAGCTTCCCTCACGGCCACAGGTTCAAGGAAGAGCCGCCCGGCGATCCCAGAACAAGGGTCGTTGCACCCCCTCCGACCTCCAGCACCAGATCCCCCAAGCGTGGTCCGCCAGGACCAGAACCTGCCCGCGCCACCTCGTCTACCCTGGCTTTGATACCCTGGCCGGCCTTTTGCGGGGTCACGAAGAACTTGCACAGCACCAGGTGGACTTGCTCGACCCCAGCGACCACATCATGTCCACCGAGAGGGCCCGCTGTGCCCTCATTATCGTGCTGCTCATGAAACGCGAGCCACGGGCACACCTTTGGCCCTTCCCTGACCCTTCCAGGTCCGGAGACACCTTCGAGGCCATCCAGGGAGTCTGTTGTCCCCGGCTAAACGGCCGCGCCCACTTTCGCTCCCAATTCGCGGCCTCTTGGGGTCTCACGCCAGCTGACCTCCGCCGGCTCGACGGCCGGCTCAAGTTTTTGATATCCTTCGTGGACAAGCTCGTGATCACCGCCCACCACCACCCCACCGCTAAGCAAGCGCACTGCCCCACTACCTATGCCGAGATGCAGAAGTTCTCCTTCAAGCTGAAGGCCCCGATGCTGGTCTTGGAAAAGATCGCGAGGCCTGCCAACATCGGCATTCTATCTCGGACGGAATGCAGCATCTGCGTTCTGCACCGGGACCTCATAGGCAGCGACAATGGCCTAAGTCCCGATGGCGGCCCCTCGCATCCTCAGCGGGGGTTTCTCGTTCGGACAGATCCCCGTGGACAGGGCGCTGCCTCCCCGCTCCACTTCCCAGCGTGGCCAACCATCCGCTCGTACTTGGCTCAGAACCGCTTACAGGGGCACGCCAACGGGCTGGACTGCACACGGTTGCGCGGCCAACGCTGGGCGCAAGGGGTAGAGAAGCAGGGCCATCAAGTTTTCCCAAAGGAGCCCCTCCACGAGCAGGTATAAGCCCCCACGCTTGCCAGGACCCCCCCAGGCCCCCTGCCGTGGACGCCTTAGCCCCCGCCGCTTCCCAGCGCGCGCACTTGGCGCTGCCCCCCGCCTTGCCTTCCGGTGCCCTCGCTGGAGCCTACGGGCCCGCCCTTCAGGTGCCAGGAAACGACAGCGCCGCCCCGCCGCCTACCCGGCTAGAGGACGACAGGTTCGGTTACTCAGCAGCAGAGTCCGATCGCCGCACTGCGACGTGCGATAGGTGCCCCCGGGGGCCCTTTGCTCTCTTTTGGCAGGCCCGAACGCCCGCGCTGGGCTGTTTCGTTTGGACGGCTGGAGTCGCGCCACGCAGGCTCCGGGGGTCTCCTTGCGCGGGGCGGTCGCGCCGTTGCCCGGCACAACCGCAGTTGGAACGGTGCGTGGATGCGCCGCCGGCGCCTCGCCCACGCATGGGGCGTCAGGCCCAGCGTCTCTGATGGACTCCTCGACCGCGACGCCCAACTGACATAGCCCTCCTCCTCCATTTCGAAGCCGCGCTCCGCCCCCCCCGCGCCTGACGAGCCGTCGTTAGCCAACGAGCCGGCGCCCGACCGCGCCTCTGATGCGAGGCCAGTTCCGTTCAGCAAGAACGGTGATCCCCTCGCTCTGTCCCCCCTTGACCAACACGGGAGGCCCCCCGCGATGCGTGGAGGCGTGGAGATGCGCAACCTCCCCCCCCCCCCACGTCGACCCCCCAAGGGCCCCGCGCTGGCGTGCGTTGACGTCGACCGCCTGGGGGCCGCCGCTGAGATCGGGCGGGGCCGCCCGAACGCCAGGCCCATCGAGGCTAGGCTGGTCGACTTCCTGCGCATCCTGGGCCCAACTATGGGCGACCTGTGGAAGGGGTCTACGTCGTAGAGCTGGACACAGGCGCCCAGGGCGCCGAGCCCCCTGACAGCTGATATCCGCTCTTGCTACGCCCCTTTCTGAAGAAGGTCCACGGAGACAGAGTTGAGCTAAATTACCTCCCTAACGGGTTCTTCTGGAAGGGTAAACGACTCGCCGCCGCCCGCGTGGTCGCGCGCCTCTGCGTTCACTCTTCCGACAACGCGATGCGTCCTACATGTTTCCAGCATGCCAACGAATGGTCCGTGCGCGGCCCTTCCCCGCTCCGTCGCGCGCTGAGCGCTCTCGTGGGGCTCTTGACCAGGGGGGCGTAAGACCTGGGTTTGCCGGGACTCGGGTTCGCCATCGTTTTTTGACGACCGCGACTCGGATTTTGACGAGGAGGAGTTTCGTGGGATGTCTGCAGCTGGAGGCCTCGTCAAAATGCAGACTCGACCTCGTCATTGTTTGAAGACCTCGTCGGGGGTTTCCGAGTCCCCTGCTTGGATGGCCGCGGCGGTTGCTAAGTACTTAACATATTTACTACGCTAAGTTAAGTACTTAGTAAGTAGTTAGCGGACTTAGCTAAGTACGTACTCAGTCATTACTAAGTGGCCCACTTAGTAATGACTTAGTAAGTACTTAGCTATCCACTTATAACCAGTTAGCTAAGTGCTTAGCGCACTTAGCTAACCACTTATAACCACTTATAGCTAGTTTGCTAAGTAGGTTATAAGTGACTTAGCGGTTACATTGCACTTGTTATCCAAGGGCCATGCACAGGGAAAAAAAAGGTAAATCCACATCTTGAAAGAGCTGAGTTTGTTCGTTGAGCGCTGCAGCGCTACAAACTTTGCATTTTGATTTGGAGTCGGTGTCCTGGATTTTTGCTTTAAATATGAGAAGCGCTGCAGCGCTGCCTTCGGATTCATATGAACATGAAGCGCTGCGTGCGCTGAATATGAAGCGCTGCAGCGCTGAATGTTGAGTTAAATACATGTTTTTTCTAGTTGCACGTTGTTCGGATCTTCATTTTCGCCCAGCTCCCTTTGCAAGGAATTTGAATGCACATGTCAATTATGTTTTGTTGTATTCGTTGTTTTTTTCAATGGTCGCATTGAGCGCTGCAGCGCTCCAAATTTGATAGCGCGTATGTTACTTTGCGCTGCAGCGCAACAAAATGGTTGTCGTCGTGATGTCGCATCGCGCTGCAGCGCGTGCGCGCTCGTGCTTCATGGGCCTCGGGCTGCAGCCCAGATCAACACTTTTGCTCGCAAGTTGCATGTCCACGCAAGTCGATGTTCACGCGCACGCCGCGCGACAGCTTGTCTCAAGCTGCGGCCGCGCGCCGCATCCGCCGTCGCGCCCGCGGGCTCGCACGTTGCATTCGGCGCTATATATATAGCGCTGGCATGGCGCTGCAGGCGCGTCAGGAGGAGCAGATCTTGCAGTGCATCGAGGAAAGCAATGCCTCGGGGAGGTTGGCATCGGGGTGGGATCAACTGAAGGAGTTCCTGCTGGCGGAGGGGCTAGCGTATTGCCAGCAGGTCCCACCGAACCAGATGTGCATCGACATTCGGGACCGCAGCGGTTCGTTAGTGAACCCTGCGCGGGCTTGCAATTTAGGCGCGAAGATTTGCGCCCAGGGCTTCGTCTTGGCCAAGACGGCTGCAGCCACTGCCTTCGAGGCCCCGCAGGGGGCGCAGTTGGAAGGGGCCGCGATGGCGAACGACCGCCTTTCGCGGCTCAGCGGGGGTCGGTGCCCCCCGCTGGACTCATTGCGGTATACGTCAGTGGGCGGCTCCCACACGAACGTCTTCCTCCGCTGCGTGCTGGCCAAGGCGCCGACCACAGTGAAGGCGCTGGCAGACTCTCGGGACAACATCGACTCCGAAAAGCTGGGCGCGTTGCACCCGCAACTTGCGACGGCAGCCAAAAAGGGCCTGACGTGGTTGATCATCAAGCACGCGGTGGCCAAAGTGAAGGGCCTCAAGAACTTCGCGCAGAGGGCTTTGAACGCCGACGTCAGGGAGGCGGTTCACGAGACCGAGATCATTCGGTCAGGCTGCAGCCTTTCCCCACTATAGTATATAGCGGTATGTAGTAAGGACCAGGATGATGCACGAGGAGGGTGATGAGCGGGAGCGCGTTGGGGAGGAGGTGAGAACGAGGAGCAGGAGCATTATATCTTACCGTGCTGCAGCACTTGATCGGCTCGGCGCTCGCTGCAGGCAGGTGGGCGGATGCTCTTGGCACACAGCCTCGCTGAGGGTTCCAGCAAGCCCGATTGGCGCGACATCGCCGAGCAAGCGGGCCACGCGAACCCACCTTGCAAGGCGTGGATCGCTGACCTGTGCAAGTTTGTTGAGCTCGGGCCACAAGACGGAGAACTTCTCCGTGAAATAGATGAAGCCCTCAAGACCTTCACGAATGCGGACGTCTCGGGGCAAACTTTGATGTGCGGCTCTGAATTCTGGCGCAAGTTGAATTCGATTAAATGGGGGAAGCACCAGGAGTCGTACCCGTATGTCGTAGCGGCGCTCGTGAAGGCCAACTATTCAGGCGAGCACGTGGTGGATAGCATGTGCAGGACCATCCATAAGCTTGTCGGCGCCCCCTTGTAGTGACATGCGCTGCAGCGCATCTATGCATTGCGCTGCATTGTTAGAACTGCGTACCCACCCCTCCCCCCTCCCCCACACACACACACGCACCGTTACATTGCTTTATTCCCAAACGCAATCGCTGAAGCGATGGGCGGATCAAGGCAAACGAGATCGTCCACGTCGCGCCCCGCAAGGCGGACGTGGCTGCGGCCGACAACCTCATGGCCGACGCAAGGTCGCTCGTGAAGAGGTTGGATATCGGAGCGGAGCAGGGCTTCTTGCACATCACAAAGTTGGATGTCCGCTGTGCCATGTACCTGGTGAAGAAGCGAGCGCCAGCAGACCGCGCTTTCGGATGCGTAGCAGATGTAGCACAGGTATCTTCTCATGCCACCTTTCGTGTGCTCCTTGTTCCCCTCCCTCCCTGCTTTTCGCCATTCAATGTCGCTGCGGCGACCCTCCAGAGAGGTCTTCCTCCATGAGCTCGGGGAGCCAGCCCAGCTGCAGATGAAGAGCTCGGGGATCGAGTTCGGCAAGGCGGTGCAGACCGACAAGCAAGGCGATGGCGCACCCGAGTTCCCAGCGAGCGCCGATGCAGACGCGCCGCGCGGGGCAGCGTCG